TGAGACACTGTTGCCTAGGCTGGAGTGCAGTGGCACAATCTTGCCTCACTGTAACCTCCCTCCTCCCCAGGTTCAAGCGATTCTCCTCTCAGCCTCCGGAGTAGCTGGGATTACAGGCATGCACCACCACACCCAGCTGATTTTTATATTTTTAGTAGAGCCAGGGTTTTCACCATGTTGGTCAGGTTGGTCTCGAACTCCTGAACTCAGGTGATCCACCTGCCTGGGCTTCCCAAAGTGCTGGGATTACATGTGTGAGCCACCACGCCTAACCACTTTCTTTAATCCAATATATTCAAAATATTATCAGCTCAACCTGTAATCAATACACAAAATTAACGATGTGTTTAAAAAAATTTTTTTTTGGCAGTAATGAATGCCATGTTGGCTTTTACTATCTTTTTCTTTTTTTAGTAATTTTACTTTACGTTCTCGGATACAAGTGCAGAACGTGCAGGTTTCTTACATAGGTAATCGTGTGCCATGGTGGTTTGCTACACCTATCAACATGCCATCTAGGTTTTAAGCCCTGCATGATTAGTTATCTGTCCTAATGCTCTCCCTCCCCTCGACCCCCACCCCTCTTTAAACTCTTTTTATTTTTCACACTGAGTTCCAAAGTCCGGTGTGTATCATAGAGCACACCTCAAAGCCACGTGCAGGCAGGGCAATGGCACTGGACGATGCAGGTCTGGACGAGTGCCTGGTATATTGTGGGCACAATTCTTGAATGGACCCTGAGAAACAGGCAGAAATGTTTTGTTTTGTTTTTGAGACAGAGTCTAGCTGTGTTGCCGAGGCTGGAGTGCAGTGACATGCTTTAGACTGACTGCAACCTCTACCTCCCGGGTTCAAGCCATTCCCCTGCCTCAGCCTCCCGAGTAGCTGGGATTACAGTCACCCACCACCGCGCCCGGCTAATTTTTGTATTTCTAGTAGACGGGGGTTTCGCCATGTTGGCCAGGCTGGTCTCGAACTCCTGACCTCAGGTGATCCACCCACCTTGGCCTCCCAAAGTGCTGGGATTACAGGCGTGAGCCACCGTGCCCGGTGAATTGCCTTCTCAATTCAGTTTTCTCCCAGGTCGTAGTCCTTGAGGCACTGGACATCCCCTCGTTAAACACCCATGTGCAGCGGAGCAGGGAGGAGGACGCGCCCCTTCGGGGGTGTGGGCCCAAGACAGGGAGAGGAACCTGGCTTCCGCGGCCTCCCCTCTGGCCCTCCTTTGTGTTTATTCTAATTCATGATTCCTTACATCCTTCTGCCAATTACAAAATGTGCGTTCGTTCATTTGGCCCCAGCCCTGAGAGCAGATCCGCATTCCCGGGGCCCCCTAGGACCCGCGGCCACCGCACGTGGGTGCTGGGCGCCCGGGCGTTGAAGGGCTTCCCTCGGTGACGCGAGCGCGCCGGGGCGTGGCCCCCGAACTGCGGCCTCGGGGAGGGGAGAGAAGGGGCCCCACAGCGTCCATCGCAACCCTCCTCTGCGGGGCCCCGGGCTTCAGCCCGGCCAAGTGCGCCTCAGGCCCGGCTCCCATAGGCTCGGTCCCATCCCAGCCCCGGCCCAGCTTCCTCCAAGACCGACCGGAAGCTGACGAGTTCCGGCTGGTCGGCGGCCGGGTCTGCTCTGCGACCCCGCCCCTCCGTAGGCTCCGCCCTGACTCCGCCCAGACGCGCGTCATCTTCCCGCGCCGTCGACGGAAATGCGATGGTGAACGCGCGGGGTCTTGCCCGCGCTGAGCCGGGAGCCGAAATGCTTCCCGGTGACGGGAGTGAGCGATGAGCCGGCTTCTGTTTCTGGTCCACAGAGTCGCCTTGGCCGCCGTGCGCTGTCGCCCCGCCTCTCGCGGGTTCGGGATGTTCTATGCCGTGAGGAGGGGCCGCAAGACCGGGGTCTTTCTGACCTGGTGAGTGGCCGGCCTGCCGAGGCGCCTCCCTGCCGGCCCCGGGGCGGAGAGAGGCCGGGGCTCAGCGAACCCCGGCGGCGGGAGCCCGGCGGTCCGAGCCTGTGCCGTGCGCGGTGGCTGTGGGTGGTCTGGGAGCCGCCCCGCCTTCCTCCTCATCCGACGGGGTTCCAGGAGGCTCATAGTCAGGGGCTGGACCGCCCTGAATCCTCGTTTGGAATATCAGAAACGCCACATAAAGCTTAGGGGTGGCCTAATAAACCCTGTGCTTGATCCCTCATCTTTGTTGCAGTTAAAGTGCAACAAAAAGTGACACGTAATCGGAACCAAGCCACATAACCGGAAGTTTCCGTACCAGCTAAATTGGGACTGGAACTCAGTACCTAACTTTCCGATTTTAAAAAGGTAAATTCTGTATAAGCTAGTATTTGCAGTGGATCCTTGTAACAACACTTGGAGGTGAGTGGGATTATTCTCATTTTCAGGTGTAGTTACACTGGTCAGGAAGTTCACAGGTTGAGTAACTGACAGAGGAAGGACTTGAGCCCAGGTGTTCCGTCTTTACCACCAGAACCCTTTCCCTTACAAAATATCAAAGTTCCTTACGTGTGTTTCCCTATGCACGCCAGCTAGAGTAGTGAGGAAGAAGCATCTCAGAAGTTGACCTTTTTGCCGTAATGAAATGGTTAATAATTTTTTTTCAAAGACCCCAGTATTTTATTATGCTTTGACTTTGACAAAAGCCTGCGGTGCTGGTGTGCTGGCTGGCGTACATAACACAGGTGTAGAGTCTGACGCGCAAGATAAAACTATGAACTGTAAGGTGTGACCCTTTGCCCTTTTCACACTAAAATTGGTCCTCCATCTCCAGTTTGTATCCTCAGTTTCAGCTAACCCTAGATCAAAAATATTTGGAAAAAATAAAAATAGGGTACAGTTTTTAAATATGCATGAAAAGACAATACAACAACTGTATACATTGTATTAGGTATTATAAGCTAGAGGTGATTTAAAGCATACAAGAAGATTTGCATAGGTTTTGTGCAAATACACCATTTAATACAAAGGACCTAGGCATCCTGTGATGTATCTGATGGGGTTGGAGGACATTCCTGGAATCAGTCCCCCTCTGATACCAAGGGACAACTGTACTTCCAACCTTACAAATCTTAATTACGAAGGGGATAAGTTAGGGAGGGAAGAAGGCAATAACATTCTGCATCTTTTCCAGGAATGAGTGCAAGGCTCAGGTGGACCGGTTTCCTGCTGCCAGATTTAAGAAGTTTGCCACAGAGGATGAGGCCTGGGCCTTTGTCAGGAAATCTGCAAGCCCGGAAGCTTCAGAAGGTAGTCCCCTCTCATGTCCCATCAGTGTGACATTTTAACCTATTCAAAGGCTTTCATGTGCCAGATGGCATTTGATCTATGTTTGATCTACCCTCCAGGCACATAGAGAAGACTGTGATTGTTTTCATTTTGCAAATTAGGGAACAGGCTGAGAACAGTTAAAAATAGTGGCTCATGTTACTTACAGTATTAGGGACAAGTCAGGACTCAGATCTCCTGTTCTGTTCAGCTTTTTATGCCGTCATTCCTTGTCTTTTCAAAAAATACTTGTTCAGCCTGACCAACGTAACGAGACTCCATCTCTACTAAAATACAAAAATTAGCCAGCCCTGGTGGCGTGCACCTGTAATCACAGCTACTCAAGAGGCTGAGGCAGAATTGCTTGAGCCTGGGAGGTAGAGGCTGCAGTGAGCCGAGATTGCACCATTGCACTCCAGCCTGGGCATCAGGACAAGACAACTCAAAAAAAAAAAAAAAATACTTGCTCAGTTATTAGACTGATTGGACTATAATTTTATAGGAATGAATGTGGTTCTTTTCCTGGCGTGCACCTTTGTGGTGTTTCTTTTCTATTGAGGACAGAGTTACACAATCTTAATTTCTTCCTCTCTCGTTTTTGGAGACAGTCTTGCTCTGTTGCCCAGCTGGAGTGCAGTGGTGCAATCTCGGATCACTGCAATCTCTGCCTCCTGTGTTCAAGTGATTCTCCTGCCTCAGCTTCCCGAGTAGTTGGGATTACAGGTGCGTGCCACCATGCCTGGCTAATTTTTGTATTTTTTTTTTTAGTAGAGATGGGATTTCACCATATTGGCCAGGCTGGTCTTGAACTCCTGAGCTCAAGTAATCCACCTGCCTTGGCCTCCCAAAGTGCTGGGATTACAGGCATGAGCCACCATGCCCGGCCAATTTCTTCCAGTTTTATCTGTTATAGAAAGTATGGTTATTCGAAGTTTAAAGCTCAGTATAAGATTAATGCCCAATATAATTGGAAGTTGAAAGCGCAATATGCAGACTCAGATGAGCATGCTGATGACGTTAGAGCACAAGATTTTAAAAATATTTCTGAATCCACCCTGAAGTGATGTTACATGAATGCTACTTACAGACTTTTGCTACAGCACATTAAGACTGAGCAGAGCATAGTTTTAATCATCTTATGTTCAACAGTCTCTCTAGAGGCAACTGAGATGCTTGAACACTGAACAACTGCTCCTTTGAGTCATCATAACAATCCTGGACAAAGCACAAGTCAGAGAGAGGCAGGTTGTGTCTAGCATTGAGCTGGATATACAGGTATTGATCGACTTAGGACCTATGCAACTTATGACCATTCGACTTTACGACCACAGTCGCTAGCCACAACTGCTCCGCGTCTGGCAGCGCAAAGGTTGCCCAGTTGGGCGTACGACAGTGCGGACCAGCTTCCGGCAGCACTACCATCTCTGCGTGCACCATTTCAACTGTGCATATAGCCTACTCAACTTATGGCCAAATTGTGTTATGACTGGTCTGCGGTCCCAACCATGGTCGTAAGTCAAGCACTAGCTGTATAACCACTGATGTTATATACACAATTTTAGTCCATGTTTTTCCTGGAAGAAGAGCCCCTTGGATTTTCAAACTGTCCATCATCCCTAAAGGGACAAGAACCCTTGGTATTATCTCCATCAGAACCAGGTTTTATTTTCAACAGGAGCCTTGCTATTGTCCTCACATTGTCTTTATCAAACTTATCTTGGAAAATTCGGAATGACTTCTCAAGAGTGTGGAAGTCTGAGATGGTGTGGATGGAGTCATTCCCTTGTTGTAGGGCCACGTGCAGAGGGTGTTTAAGTCTGATTTAATGGTGCTGAATAACTTACTGGATTTCTTCATCCTCTAGCCTTTTGTGTTATGCTCATTGTTTGCAGCTCACAAGTGAACTCTTTCAGGGCAGGAAAATCAACATGGACGAGAATCACAGACGAAAGCCAGCAAGCGACTCCGTGAGCCACTGGATGGAGATGAGGGCGCAGAGCCATATGCAAAGCACTTGAAGCCCAGTGTGGAGCCGGCGCCTCCAGTTAGCAGAGACATGTTTTCCTACATGGGTACATCTTCCTTGGGTTTCCCTGATTTTTACATCATGAAAATATATGTGTAAAAGATATTTCCCACTTAATGGGGGAAGTTTGAGCTGATGTTTTTCATCTTCATTGTTACGTGTAAATATTATTTAGAAATCACTAAGGTCATTACTTTGTAATTGATCAAGTGGTGCAGAATTAAACTTTTGGCTGTTCTTAGGAAAACCCTTATGTACAAATGAGTAACTGTAATCTTTTGAAATACCAATATATTCGCTATGCATGCGGCACTTAACATTACCAAGATAAAACGCAAAGGCTCCAGCTTTTTCAAATAAGAAACGCCCCACATACAGCTGCTTGTTATAATGGATTAGCAACAGCACTTTAAGCTTTTATTCGCAATCTTTGGAAAATGGGAGATTCTGTTTTATCCTGAGAAGCGGGGTAGTAGTGAGCTTAAGGCTCCTTCGTGTCTTTTACACATAGGTGCAAAAAACAAATAAGTAGCATTTAAAAATATAAATCAGTATATTTGTAGGTTCTGATTTAATTCAAGGGAAACCAGTAGAAAACGTTGTGCCAAGCTGTATTATTTATAGATAAGTTTTGCAGTTATCTAAGAAAAGACCACACAAGTATTCTTTATTTGGTGATTTACTAGTAGGAATTAAAGCAGAGATTTGTGGAGTAGCAGGGAAATGAGCTGTTTCTGGCCACTGACCATGCTTGAGGCTCAGTAGCCTGGAACATGGCAAATGGCAGTGCTGGCTCCAGCAGTTCAGTGGCTGGGCAGAAAGTTTGTAGTCGTGCTGATACAGTCATGTTCCAGCTGAACTAAGGAGCCTTGCCCGACACCCAAACTCCACTCGGCCCTCTGACCCACTCCCATGAGGAGCATGTCCTCGTCTCTGCCCCTGTGCTGCCACTCTGTGCAGTCTGCCGTTCTTAGGACAAGCACTTCCACTTCCTGCGCGTCCGACCTCTATTTGCCCTCTTGCCCAGCTCTTAACACTTTGCAACCTGACCTCTGCTTCCACCACACTGCTGAAGTGTACTGGTCACCAGGGGCCTCAGAGCGGTCCCATCAGTCCTTTTTCACCTTGTTATTTACAGTCCTGGTGTGTCAATCACACCATCTGTCTAGAGGGAAAGAAACGGACGGGAACCACACTAAACTAGTAGCGAATGTGCCAGGGAAGAAATGGGAGCAGCACTGGTCAGGAGACTGGGCCCTCTGGCAGGCAGAATCACCGCCATGCTGAGGCTCTGCTTGTCTCTGGAAGGACGGCTCCGTGGGAGTGAAGGTGGCCCTGCTGTGGAGACAGAGTCATTGTCATTTGAACCCTCAGTGTGGGGTGTGAACAGTAGTTCTTACTGCAGCGGGCTCTAGTTTACAAAGTATCTGCCTTTACCCTGAACTTGCCTGGCCTGCAAGACCAAAATGTAAGTGGACTCTGAGCATAAATGCTGGGTGCCCTCTTGTAAGGAATTGAGCACGTTTTCCTAGACAGAACATGTAAGGTCAGCCCAGTAGTGTTTACTTCTCTTCCCACAGGAGACTCGGTTGTTGTATACACGGATGGCTGCTGCTCCAGTAATGGGCGGAGGAGGCCACGAGCAGGAATCGGCGTTTACTGGGGGCCGGGCCATCCGTTGTAAGTAATCAAAGGAAGCTGAGTTTTCCTGAATCATGTTCCACAGCTTGTGAGATGAGGCGGATCTGCTTATTGGTTGACTATTGGGAAAACCTGCAGATAAATAGCTTGGGCAGGGGGTAGCAGAGCTACAATCCAACAGCTTGGATTGTGTTGGTGCTGAGCAGCGTTGCTCTTCAGAACGTTGGTACCTCAGCTTTACTTCGTTCTGTTTTGTTTTTAGACAGAGTGTCGCTCTGTTGCCCAGGCTGGAATGCAGTGCCAGAAACAGCTCACTGCATCATTGACCTTCTGGGCTCAAGTGATCCTCCTGCCTTGAAAAAAGTGCTGGGATTGTAGGTGTGAGCCACTGCGCCTGGCTTTGGTGTTGCTTTCCTGCCCTGTGGAGGAGTCTTTTTTTTTTTTTTTTTTTTAAAGTAGAGATGAGGTCTCACTATGTGGGTCAGGCCGGTCTCAAATTTCTGGGCTCATGCGATCTTCCCACCTTGTCCACCCAAAGTGCTGGGATTACAGGTGTGAGCCACCACGCCTGGTCCAAAAATTGCTCATGTTTTTTAGGAAACCCTGGATCTCTTAATTTTAAATGCCTTAGTGACCCCAGATTTTACATAACTTATCTGAGGGTTTTTCTGGCTTCTTGATTTCATTTTCCACCTTTATTTCCTGGAAGTTTTTAGGAGTTTCAGTCTGAGGTCTTACTCCCTCCATTCTTATTCCTGAGTTTTCTCCTGGGATTCTTTTTGCTGGAGCCACAGGTCCTAACTCAGGGGCCGCAGAGAACTAGCTCTTACTTGCTCTGTCCTAGTGGGACCCCAGAGACTCAGCAGGTACCCGAGTGTGGAAACCTTTTATCCTCTCTGCTTCTGGCAGTCTCTCTGTTAGTTTGACTTTTATTTGATGCTTTTATATTTCAAATAAAAATACACACTAATTTATTGTTATCCATTAAGAAGAATCACTTTGAGAATTCACTTTATAATTTTACTTTCTTTTGTACTGTTTTGAAACAGAAATATAGGCATTAGACTTCCTGGGCGACAGACAAACCAAAGAGCAGAAATTCATGTAAGTTATCAGATATATTGAAGCCACTCATTATTGAGCATTGAGTGTGAGCATATCAAATAAATCAGCTAATTTTTTTTCCTATTTATATATATAAGATATTTGGAGAAGAGGCTTGGGTTTAATGACAATTCTGAAAAATAGGAATTTTGTAGAAAAATTCCAAAAACTTATTTCAGATTGGTGTCTCTGCAGGAGGATTGTGATCGTAGTGCTTCATGCAGAGAGTATAATCATCACAGTGCAGAAGGGATGTTTCCGTTTTGAGGACTTTGAGCATCAATAATGTCAAAGTTGAACATTTTCTGTGGAATGACTCTTGACTTGTCTTTTTAAGGCAGCCTGCAAAGCCATTGAACAAGCAAAGGCTCAAAACATCAGTAAATTGGTTCTGTATACAGACAGTATGTTTACTATAAATGGTAAGTTTTCACAGTTGATTTCTTCTGTTTTTCCAGTAACCATGAAGGGAAATTGATAGGAGATATTGTAACAGGGCAAGACCGAAATGGAAATAGGGGGATGACACTGTTTTGTCAGGTACTAAGCAGAGTGGGGATTTCGGAGTGTCTCTTCTGCTGCTCCGATGTTTTCCACATGCCTATTTCTTTGTGAGGCACCAGAGATGCCGTCAGACATGGAAGTGGCTCTGCTGTAGTGGCACTTCTAAGTCTGTGTGTGCCTAAGTCACTTCAGATGGCGTGTTGACTGCTTCTTTGGGAAATGCCCTTAGGGGATGCTTATGAGGCTGGGGAGGGCTTCCTGGGAGAAGTGACATCTTAAGCTGACAGCTATAGGTAGAATACGAGTTCGGGGAAAGGGAAGAGGGCGGTATTTCAGGCTGTGCCAAAGGCCAAAGCAGCTAAGGCCAGCTAAGGAAGTATAAGAGTCAGGGCTGGTGACTCAGAGTACACGTGGGATGGATTATAAGAGGTAAGACTAGGAAAGTGAAGAAGACAGGACGCTCAAGATTGACTCACCAGTGATCAGGCGTTCTTGTAGGTATAACTAACTGGGTTCAAGGCTGGAAGAAAAATGGGTGGAAGACAAGTACAGGGAAAGAGGTGATCAACAAAGAGGACTTTGTGGCACTGGAGAGGCTCACCCAGGGCATGGACATCCAGTGGGTGAGTATCTTCTCAAATGTTAACATCGTATGGCAATTTTGACCAGATAAGCTAAATTTACCAGAGATTAATGGTATTTGTAAGTGGTTTAAAGACAACAACTTCCAGGAAATCAACATCATAATGTATACTAACACATATCTGAGGGTGGACACAGTGGTCACTTCATAATCTAGCACTTTAGGAGGCCCAAGCAGGCTGAATACTTAAGCCCAGAAGTTCAAGACCAGGCTGGATAACATGATGAGACTCTGTTTGTAGAAAAAGTAAAAAATTAGCCAGGCATAGTGGCGCATGCCTGTAGTCTAGCTACTCAGAAGGCTGAGGTGGGAGGATGGCGTGAGCTGGGGAGGTCGAGGTTGCAGTGAGCCAAGATTGTACCACTGCACTCTAGCCTGGGCAANCGTGAGCTGGGGAGGTCGAGGTTGCAGTGAGCCAAGATTGTACCACTGCACTCTAGCCTGGGCAACAGCGAGACTGTGTCTAAAAAAAAAAAAAAACCCATCCACAGACACACATTTGATTCTTTTAATCACCGTATGAGTAATAGTTTTTTGGTTTGGTTTGGTTTGGATTTTGAAACAGAGTCTCGCTCTGTCACTCCAAGCTGTGGCGTGATCTCACTGCAACCTCTGCCTTCTGGGTGCCAGTGATTCTTGTGCCTCAGCCTCCCAAGTATCTGGGTTTACAGGCATGTGCCACCACACCTGGCTAATTTTTCTGTTTTTAGTAGAGATGGGGTTTTGCCGTGTTACCCAGGCTGGTCTCGAACTCTTGACGTCAAACAATCCACCTGCCTCGGCCTCTCAAAGTGCTTTGAGATTACAGACATGAGCCACTACAAGTAGTACAGTTTTAATGAGAGTATCACTAGGCATATACACAGGCAGTGTGGTTTGAGGGAGTTCTACAGTCCTTATATTCTAAGAGCACAAAGTAATTCCCAACCCGGGCACAGGGCATTACTGTGACAGGTATATGTGCCCCTCTTCATTTCTTTGGAATGTGTCATATGTTAAAGCTAACTTGCAGTGTATCTTGTTTAAAACACTAGTAAGGACATGTGATGAAAGCCTTGGTAACAACTTTTACTCCAAGATGGAAGCACTTTTTTAAACAATCATTTTTATTTAAAAAGTTTTTTTCAAGCAATACAGAACAAATTAAAGTACCGTCTCAACCCTGCCTTGTTCGGCCTTCCCAGAAGCACTGATAACAGTTTGGTGGCCTGGCATGTAAATTTGCTTTGGCAACACAAGTGTAGACTGTAGTCATACGAAGACGGTGCTGCAAGGGAGTGTGTGTGTGTGTGTCGCATACATATCTGTCCACCCATCTGTACATACCTGTGTATTCCCTGGAAAGCTTATCAAGTCCAGTTGATAAGTGAGGGAGGAAATAACATTATGAACGGTAAAATCAAATTTGTAGAAAAACAAAATGGAATGTTTGTAAATACACCCCTTGCATAAGTGCACGAAGAATCTCCAGCGTGCTGTTCAGGATCATGTTTGGGGAGAGGAGCGTTGAGCTGAGCTTCTGCTACTCAGTCTGTTCTGAATGGTTGAGCTTTTATAATGAGAATATAGTCGTGTGTTGCTTATGTAAAGATGAGTAAAAATAAAAGGAAAACATTTATTTTAACAGATGCACGTTCCTGGTCATTCAGGATTTACAGGCAATGAAGAGGCTGATAGGTTAGCCAGAGAAGGAGCTAAACAATCGGAAGACTGACCCACGTGACGTGAGTCCTTAGGAAAACCTGAGCCAGCGGCTGTTTCGCTGCTTGTACTTACTGGTGTGGAAAAGAGCCTGCAGGTGAGACTGCTGCAGTGGATGGGCAGACGCGGCTTTCACACGGAATCCGGGAGGCGCAGTGGCATTCTGTGACCCAATTTTATAAAAAATCGTTAAGTATATAATAAATTCAACATCTTTGAGGTTGGAGAGTTATGTGAGGTTTCAGCGTTACACTTACTGGGTTCCATACGTTTTGCTTGTTTTATTGCAGGCAAGCAAGGCAAATGGCCTAAAATGCCGCAGCTTATATTGATTTTGATAAGAAATCTAAAAAACCTTGCTTAAAAGATGCAACTCAGAAGTCTGGGAGTATTCTGAAAGCATCCATTTACCGTCCGGTTTATAGGAGTGAGTCTCCTGCTTCTGCTTGTTTAGTGACTTGTGCCTGTGGGTACTTGTGCCTGTGGGTACATTAGAGAAACGTGCAGCCTGGGGCCTGGGCGGGCAGCTCAGCGGGCAGGATGTGTGCTGGGTCTCAGCCCCGTGCGCCTGCTTGCAGGGCACTTGGTATAGGGCAAAGCCTGCCTGTAGGCAACCCTAGCTGCTAGGCCATTCTCTAGGAACACTTACAACTCGTAAAGACCGAGATGTGTAAAGAAGTCTTTCAAAAATTTGTTTCTTCTGTTAAAAACTGTGCAAATTAAAAAAAAAAAAATGTTTGACCCTGGCTGGGCATGGTGGCTCACATCTATAATCCCAGCACTTTGGGAGGCCAAGGCGGGCAAATCACCTGAGGTCAGGAGTTCAAGACCTTCTTGGCCAACATGGCAAAACCCTGTCACTACTAAAAATACAAAAGCTATCTGGGTGTGGTGACACGTGCTTGTAATCCTAGCTACTCTGGTGGCTGAGGCACAAGAATCACTTGAACCTGGGAGCCAGAGGTTGCAGTGAGCAGGGATCGCGCCACTGCACTCCAGCCTGGGCAACAGAACGAGACTCTCTCAAAAATAAATAAATAAATAAAAAGTTTGACATGCGGCCGGGCGCGGTGGCTCAAGCCTGTAATCCCAGCACTTTGGGAGGCCGAGGCGGGTGGATCACGAGGCCAAGAGATCGAGACCATCCTGGTCAACATGGTGAAACCCTGTCTCTACTAAAAATACAAAACATTAGCTGGGCATGGTTGCGCGTGCCTGTAATCCCAGCTACTCAGGAGGCTGAGGCAGGAGAATTGCCTGAACCCAGGAGGCGGAGGTTGCGGTGAGCTGAGATCGCGCCAATGCACTCCAGCCTGGGTAACAAGAGTGAAACTCCGTCTCAAAAAAAAAAAAAAGTTTGACATGATTATTTAGTTTTAAACCTTTTTATCACAAAATAAAAATATACAGGAAATAAAACAAATACATAGCTTATTGAATGTTATGATTGTAAGGTGAATACCTTTGTGTCCACCACCCAGGGAAGAAGTAGTGCTTTGCCGGATACCCCAGAAGGCTCTCCAAGTGCCCTCCAGCCACAGCCCCCTTCTCCCGCTCCTTGCCTGCAGAAGTATTCCTGACTTTGACAGAGTGACTTTCTTGGTTTCTTGATGGCAGTTTAGTCTTGTCCGCTTTCTTTTTTAACTCGATCAGTCTCCATGTGCAGTCCTATCTGCCACGCTGTTCTCCCTGCCGTTATCTGTTGAAGAGCCTGGGCCGTTTGTCCTGTCGCTTCCCACAGTGTAGATTTCGCTGACCGCGTGGCCATGGTGCAGTTCAGCATGATCCTCTGTCCTCTGTCCTGCGGATTGGCAGCTGGGTCTAGAGGCTTTGTGAGCCTCAGATTTGAGCCCTTTGGCAGGAGATTAGGCAGTTAGGGGCTCTCTTTGGGAGTCCTTGTCCATGTTGACAGCAGCTGATACTCAGGGCCAAGATCTGTTAATTATTTGGGGTTGCAAAATGGTAATATTCTCATTCTGTCTTTTTGTTTGCCTTTATTCACTGGAATGGTTTTCTACGAAAGTGTTTTCTTTTGTATACTATTTGGTTACCCAGTGGTACAGTTCACATAGGAAGGGCAGGATAAATGCTTGGTTCTTTGCTCTTGCACAGTAAGTTTTTAAGATAATGCATTAGTTCTCTGTCATCCTTAGATGGTGAGCTGTTAAGGTTTTTTACTTATATGTATTAAGAATTCACAGGCTGGGCATGGTGGTTTACGCCTGTAATCCCAGCACTTTGGGAGGCTGAGGCAGGAGGATCACTTGAGCTCAGGAGTTTGAGAGTAGCCTAGGTAACATAGCGATACCCTGTCTCTACAGAAAACTAAAATAAAAGTAGGAGGCTGTGGTGCCTGCCTGTTGTCCCAGTTACTCTGGAGGCTGAGATGGGAGGCTTGCTTGAGCCCAGGAGGTTGAGGATGCAGTGAGCTGTGACAGTGCCACTGCACTCCAGCCTGGGTGACAGCAAGTCCTTGTCTTTAAAAAAACAGAATTTGTGGAGTTAAGCATATTTGATGGATTTCAATCCATTGTAATATTTATCTGTGTTTAACTTGGACTCTCTCCTTTGGTCAGTGAGAGGGAGCCTCTTCAGCTGGGCTCTTGAGTTTTGATAAGCATGCATGCATGCGCATTCGTGGACGCACAGACCACATGCGCAGTCAGTGATAGCGCCTGCGATCTGGCATGTGCAGGCGCTCTAGGCCCATCTTGTACAGCTTCTGCCCCAAACTTTTCTTAAAAGAAAAAACCTTAGAGAACTTCGCAGTTTAATTGAGCAGAAAATAGTTGCTTCAGCCAGGTAGCACTCAGGACCAAAAGCGGTTCCGAACGCTCCCTCGCGCATCATGTGCAGGCTGCAGTTACAGCTGGAGGAAGGGAAAGACACGTGGACGTGGCCAGGCTCACTGCAATGCCGCCTCCGCTTCGCACCACCATGTTTGCAGCCTTTCAGCCTGTGATCGGTGAGACTCTGTAGCTTGTTACAGGAGTATGCTCTTACATCAGGGCACAGTCTGTTTATACGTTCGGTGAAGTTCTAAGTCAAAGTCACTATGTACAGAGGCAGTTTTAGGCCAAACTTAATTCTGTTTAACATTTGGAATCCATTATTTTTAAGAGCCTGGTGGTGATGGTAATTCAGATCCACAGTCTAGGATGCTCATTGCTATAGGTTTGGTCATCGTTTCCAGACTTTTTATTGGACAGAGCTTTAAAAAAATACAAACATTACACACACACATTTAAAGAAAAAATATTTTCTGAACCTGTATTGATATTCCCAATACAAATTCAGCGTTCTGGGGCCCGTACACAGCCTCTTCATAAGATGTCTGTGTCTCCCACACTCAGAAGACAGGACGATGCCCTGGAATATCCCGTAATCACACTCACTTTATTCCACTTTAACATTTAGTATTTTTAAAAATACTAATACCGTAGCACTAGTTGGGATGATGAAAACAGCACTGTGTCCACATTGTCAGAAAAATCGCTCCCTTTTACCGCCGTTGACTCATTTCTGTGTGTTCAGTCGTCATAACCCGTCTGTAGTCAGTGAGTTTCTAATGTTGAATTCAGTTTTGCCGGAGATGAAACTCTAGGCTCAGATTTTCTTTGAGTATCTGAATTGTTTTATTCTGTTTTCTTCCAGCATGCAGTGATGCATGAAAAGCCTGATGAGTTTTATTTGCTTCCCTTGACAAGTCGTATGCTGTTGTTGCTTAGATGCCCGAAGGTTTTTCCTTTTTCTCTCAAGTCAGCAGTGGTGTTTGAATGTATCACATGTTGGTGTTGGTTGTCCTGGTCCGTATTTGCAGGTGTATGATGTGCACTTTCTATGTGTACTTTCAAATCTGGTTTAAGATTGCTTGCACTGTAGTGTTATATTTTTCTTGCCAATTTTTTTTTCTTTGGTGATCCCTGTTATCTGTGTGTTGAAATCTAAGTTGCCTGTTTTCAGTGTTTGCCACTGTCTCTGGAGTCTCTTTTACCTCTTTCTTTATTTCTTTTTGAGTTGTAAATGTTATCACACCACTTTTTTTGAGTTGTAAATGTTGTTATCACACCACTTTTGTTATTTGAAATAGAAACAGTGTCTCTCTCTGTTTCCCAGGCTGGTCTTAAACTCCTGGCCTCAAGGGATCCTCCTCCCTTAGCCTCCCAAAGTTCTGGGCTTATAGGTGTGAGCCACCAAACCCAGCCCCACCTTGCTTTTTAAAACAGCTCTATTGAGGTGTGACTGACAGATAATAAATTGCACATATGTAAAGTGACCAATGCATATTCCCATGAAGCTATCAGCAGAACACGTCCATCACCACCAACAGTATTTTGACAGACTTTGTAAACTGTCCCTCCGTGTCCCCCATCCTCAGGCAACCACTGGTCTGCTCGCTCTCACTAAAGATTAATTTATATTTTCTAGAATTATATATGAGTGGAATCATAGAACAAGTACTGTGGGGGAAGGTGCTGCTTTTGCTCAGCATAATTGTTTTAGCATTCACCGTGTGTATCAGCAGTCCACATTGTGTGTTGTGTGGACTGAAACATTTCGATTGTTTTCAATTTCTGCCTAAATACAAATAAAGCAAGGAAAGCTGCCGTGAACATTTATGTCCTCGTCTTTGTCTTCTGTTTCTCTGGGGTAAATGCCTTGGAGCGGAATGCCTGGGTCACATGACAGGTGTGTGCTTCTTAAGAAACGGAACTTTTCCAAGTGTGAACTTTACATTTTCCATCCCCCCAGCCAGGCAGGAAAGTTCCAGCTCACTCCACATCCTCGGCAACACTGTCACCTCATTCTGTTACAAATGTCTGTCAGTTTTTGGTTTTGCTGTTTAGTAGTTCTGTTTTTAGGTGAGGATTTGAGAAGATCCAGAAGTATGCTCCTACTGCTGCCCCTGCCATTTGAGAATCTGTGATTTTAAAAAATGAAAAATTACACTAGAATTGGAAATACAGAGATGAAACGTTGTGCCTCTAAAATCTTGACAGTCTGTGGGATTTTCACAAATACA